GTGACGTGGGGAGATGCTAAGGGGTTAGCGTATATTGAGAAAGTCGGGACAGAGAATTTCCTGACGCATTGGCTGTGTGGAGTGAGGCAGGAGGAGGAACCAGGGTGGCTCTAGTTTCTTCTGGCTTGAGACACTGACTGAACAGGAGGAATCTGCTCTTCTTTAGAATCAGGTCTGTAAGCATGAGGGTTCCGAGCATGTAGCAGACCAGCTGCATCCAGGCTGTCTGCACGGTTTGGGGCAAGCAGGTGCATTTTTTTTGTGTGTGAGATTCCATTTTGTCCTCTGTGAAATGGGGATTATGAAAGTGCCTACTCCTCAAGGGTCTTGTGAAAATTTTAAAAGCCATGCATGCCAAGTGTTCAGAATTAATTCACAAGGGTTGATTGAGGTCAGGACATTACGGCCTGTGGTTCAAGGGTAACTCAGTGCCCATCTTTGTAGGGAAATCTTACGGGACACAGACAAGCCCATGAGTTTATGAATTGCTACGGCTGCTATCATGCCCAAAGAGTCTGCCCAAAGCCATACACCATCTGACCCCTGGGCCCAAATATTATTTATTATGTGGCTTTTAAAGGAAGAGGTTTCCTGTACCCTGAATTAGAGAATTAAACAACTAGTAGCTATGCAGTAAAGTTCTCAGGTCAATACCTGGAAGATAAAAACATCAATAAGTTTGACTCTTGTCATCCTTCCACATCTGTGATCTCATTCAACCCAGATGGGCCTCTGTGAAGTGGTGTTTTTACCTCCTCCTTTAAAAAAGAGTGTAATGACTTGCCTGTGGTCACACTCAATAAGTGGCAGAAATGAAACTCAAATTCTGGCCTTTTACTGCCAAGTCTTTCATTTTTCCCTCACCCCAAAGTTTGGCCTTGGCTGGTACTCAGGCCTGTCTTGAACATGTCCCCAGTGGGCTACTAACTGCAGGACTCACTGGCTTTCTAATACACCAGGAAACAGAAGTCATTATGTAAAAAATATGTAATACATTCTCCCTTCCAATTTTGGTTCAATCATCATCATCATCATCATCATCCCTTTTGGTTTTAAACCAAAGGGAAATTTTGTACAGAAAAAGGATGTAAAAAGGCGATTCATCATAAAACATTTCCTACCTTGGGGCATTGGCAGTGGTTCCTCGGCATGTTCTGAAGAAAGAGGCATTGAGAATTCGTCATGGTTAGGACAGCAACGAGCTACCGGAGTCAGGTGACACCCCTCCCCCTGCCACCCGAGTTCTACAGAGCGAGAAAGAATGTGGCTAAATGTGAACAATTTACCACGATTTCCCCCTAACATGGTGGTGGGAATTATGCTTTTAGCGGCGTAATAGCAATACTAGGGAATGGCTGGAACTCTCCTGATTGAAATAAAAATGAAGCTAATTACTTGGGAGGAAAAGGGTGACCAACAGCATTCTTGACTTAATGGTCGAATCATCTTAATGGCCCAGGAAATCAGAAATGGTGAACAATGACCATCCTGGTGTGGCCATCTGCTCCTTCTCACCACTTACGCCTTTATTATCTTCTCCCTGCCTGCCCGGGTGGCTAACGTAATGGAAACTGTGGGCCCATAAAGCAATCGCATGAACTCACCTGAGGTAGGCTCTATATAGTCAGTCTCTGTTGATAGGTAGGAAAAAAAAAAACAGAGCTACTTTAGAAAACGGTAGTTATTTTTAGAAATATTTCAATTAAAAATTGATTTTGAAATGAAAAATATAACTCTCCAAAATAAAATTGTTGACTCTCTCTGCCTTCATTCAGGTGACTTTAATTAAACATTGAATGTATAAATGGTTATTAGCACAGCGTGTCTAATGGTGTGTGTTGGACCAATTGTGGCTGCGCGATATCTGCTGGGCTAACTCAATTGCCCCCCAAAAGAGGCAAATGCCCTATTCACCTGTAAAACAGTTCAGTGGAACCAGGTGACCTTGAAGAATATGCTACCTTGATGGAATTCTAAACAACACTCCAACTAAAATTTTAAAAATCAAAGCAGGGGACAAAAATAAATGAAAAACAAACCAGCATGCACACACACACACACACACACACACACCAGTGTTTGTATTGACTCAGAAGCTAATTTATTACTTGAGTATCAATATAGGAGCAGTCTTTCTGGTTGAATGCAATTGGAAATTGGAAATGGTGGCAAGTGACCACATTCACTGCTCTAGACACAATAATCGCCTTTCTCTCCTGCGCTGGCACACAGATGTGCGTCTTGAACAATGGTATTGTGCTGAAAATCAGCCACATGCTGATGGAGATGTGTTTGTTACCTCTAGATCAGCAGTTCTGGGTTGGGGGCAATTGCTCCCCAAGGAACATTTGGAAATGTAGGAAGACACTTTGGGGTATCCCACTGGAACGAGGGCACTATGTCATTTGGTGGGTAGAGGTGAGGAATGCACAGGAAAGCCCACCCACCACAGAGGACGCCCTGGCCCCAGTGTGCACAGTGCTGAGGCTGAGACTGGTCAAGACAGACTTGATGATTATTCTTTGGTCAAAGACTCATGACTGACAATAACTGGTGTAAGCTCACAATCAACAGGACACACTAAGAACTATTCTAATTTACATAGGCTTCACCTTTATCACCTTTATTAGACTGAAAACTTTTAGGAGGAAAAGCCTTTATCTCAGGGCTGGGGATGTGGCTCAGTGGTGGAGCTCCCAGGCAGCATGTGTGGGGTCCTGGGTCCAACCTCCAGAACCAGAAAACAAACAAGCAAACAAACAAACAAAAACCCTTATCTCTTGCTCACTGTGGTGTCCTGGCAAAAGGGAGAACACACTCGGCTAGTGATTTATCTCCCTGTTGATGTAGACTGTCTTTTCACCAGAAGTTTTCAAATCTAGTCCTTATAATGGAATCCTCAATTGCTTTCATTATTTTTCTCTGCATAAAATCAATTTCAACATCTTGTGGCTAATATTTTTCTGAGCTCACATCAAAGTGCAAAATAATCAACATCTCCTGGTGTCCCACAACTCGGTAGGCTGGTCCCTGGCTGGCCCATGGCCACATGGGTGCACGATTACCACTGGGGTAGTGAAGGTGCAGCCAGATAATGAGATGTGCACTTTGGAGGCAGCGGTGCCATTACCTGTGCAGATGACACTGGCGTCTTCTCCAGGGCCACAGTTATGCAGATGCCAGCCAGCATGTGGACACTGTCCCAGAAAACTCTCTTTTCCACTACAGTCCACATCATCCAGCAGAAACTCGCCTTTGCCTTCACCAAATTGTGCCTCAATGGGGGCTGCAAGGGCGGGTCCGCAGCTCAGCTGCTGGCACACCACTTGGGCTTCATTGAGGTCCCACCGGTCATCGCAGACCCTGCCCCACTGGCCACGGTAGAAAACTTCCACTCTCCCAGAGCATCTGCCTGATCCATTCATGAGTCGCAACTGTGGCCAGTCTTTTGAAGATGCAAAAATATTGCATTTTAGGAGAAGGAACATATTCTGCATGAACCCATGTGCATTTAGTGTGCCTATGCTGAGTCACAGTGCATAGCACTGTGGACCCTGTGTTTAAGAGAACAAGCCTGGTCCTCGCTGTCAAAGAGATGGGAATCTAGTTTGACAGTGGTTGTCACGTTAATCTAAAATTAAGTGGAGATTTGCAACTACACCAAGTCTGGGAGGCAATGGAGGGAGGATGTCCATTGTGTTTTAAGGATGTCCATAGTGGCGTGCGGGGGATATCTTTCTAACAGGTGACCGTGGGCCCAGGGCCTTGAGAGGGATAGGAAAGAGTTAAGGGGACAAAGAGAAACACAGGGGAGGACAGTCTTCCTCAGTTCATTACACAAAACAAATCAAAGCCCACAGAGTTTTACGAAGAGCTGAATTCACAGGGACCCTCAGTGAAATCATTCTGTTTGGCAGTATTTGCGCAGTTGGAGTCTACCGCCACTTAGAAGCACGTGACCCACCAAGCCACATCACACAAGGTTGGGGGGAGAAAACCTTGACTCACCACCAGGGAATGGCGTTAAGATTTCAGCATCTAAGAGCAAAGAGAAATAAATAAGGTATCGTTGCCCGGCAGGATAGTGTACGAAAGTTTGCTGGGCGAGTATCAGCAATGTGTGTGTGGTGGAATGGATGTTGGGCTAACAACGTGCTTTGGGAAGTATATTCAGCAGGTTTTGATCAGGTGAGGAATTTATTATGCTTAGGCAGCATGGAGTCATTTACAGCTTGCTTTTTAGAACTGGGTTATTTGTACAAATGTCCCTTCTGCCAGAAAGGCAAAAGGGTCCAGTGCTAATGGAATTGTACTCCTATGGCGCTCACAGAGGGCCTTCAAGAAAGGAGAATTTTGGAGTATACTGGAGGACTCAGGTTAGTAAGAAAGCATAAGAGAGGATCAGAAGCTGTTTCTGCTAAAGTACTGACTCTTCGTTGGGGCCTGCAGATGCCAGTAGGTAACTCAAGGAAGGGTGGTGGCCTGGCAACTCTGCCTGCGTTCTGTATCTGGCCCTTGGCTGTGTGCTGGAGCCGGATTCTTGTAGACTTTGCTCGCAGGCATGCTATTCGTTTAAGGAGCGTTCGTGTAAACACTGGTGTTACAAGGTCCATTGCCCTAAATTTACCCAGCCTATCTCATGCCCCTTCAAGGCTGAGGACACCAAGATAAGAGTAACTGAGGTATTTTCAAGATTTGTAGGGACCTTCAACTGCCAGCTCTTTAGCCTTCTCTTCTAGACTCCTGGGTGGTGCCTGGTCAGTGCCCTGCACCTTCCAGGAACAGCGCAGGCTTTCAGGCAGCTCATCTCAGGATAAGACTGTCTTCCAAAACAGGAGCAGTCATCTCATGGGACCTAAACTGTCCCCTTCAGGATCATAGGTCTCATAGCTCAACACACTTGGCAGCAAAGGGAGATTACATCCTCAGGGGTGCAGAGGAGGACTTCTCTGGAGCCATGTTGCAGAACCTGAACTGGGATATTGACACAGACTAAGACTGCTCAGTTTTCGGATCTCTCACCCCACCCCAATTCTTCCTCTATGTAAACCTGAAGTTCATATCAGTGCCATGAAGACAGGGCTGAGATGCTTGATCTGAATTTGCCTTCCAGGACAGCCATACTGATTAAAGTTCCCTTCCTGCTCTTCACCGTACTTCTTCCTTTTGGTTTTGGGGGCCAATGGCCAGACCTAATCTGTTGGGACTCTCAGAATCAAGCCTCTGGCCTGGGACTCTGGTGACAAAAGGACACACTTTGCTCCATTAATCTCTGAATCTGCCAAAGGGACAGAGAGGAATGCTGTGTCCTGAGGCCACGCTCACCGCCTTTCCCGCACATTATCTGAAGTCAGGATTTTCTTTAGTCTAATCCGAGTTCGATGACATCTCTGAATGTTAATTTACTAAACCACATTCATATCCTCACTTCACAATTTTCTAAAATACAGTTGGACAGGAACAAACCAGTTGGGAGAGAAAATATCTACTGCATGGTTAAAGGCAGGGGATTCCCTGCTCTTCCTTTTATTGGTCGAAGGGACTCATGTCCCTTTGATCACATCCAATGGTTTGTCTCCTGCCCCTCCCCTGCCTCCTGCAGCAGGTTACGTTGGTTAACACAGAGCACTGGGGCATGTGTGTTAACCAACATGTGTGGATGTGTGGATGCTCTGCTGAAGACATACTAAAGTGTGACTCTTACCAAAATCTTCCAATCTTTCATGTTCATATTCTACGAAAAAGAAAAAAAAAAGTGGGATGTAACTTGAGTCGATGAGGAATAATGATTTTGAAAGCCCCACAGGCTAAGCAGGTGCTTCCCTAAAGGGCTAATGCTACTTGATGTGAGTATCTAAAGCATTGTTTTCATATGAAAATAAATGTGGTTTTATTGCAATTTGAAAGAGAAACTCTGAAGGGACTTTTATAGATAATGGGATTTCAAAGACAGTCTCTGCTTAGGGCAAGCAAACTTGGGCTCTGCTGTTTGGGGCATCTGTTTGAGAAATACCAGAACTGATTAATCTATTAACTGCAAAAATATACTCAAAACATACTCTCACGTCCTCTGAAGTAAGACGTGTATTTATAATTTGCTAACCGGACGGTTTCCTTCCAGGGAGCCTGGCCCAAGGAGATGCTGGGAGAGTGGCAGATCCTCCTTCTGCCCGCCCAGGCTGCTTGGGGCACCTTTAGCCAGGTGAGGCAAGGCTGAGGACACACAGGAGGGGCTTTGGGATGTACATGGCACAGTCAAACTCTAAGGCAGGGCCTGGGGTCCAGGAGGCTGGAGGGGCTGAAGGTGCAGGATGGTGAGAGGCCTTGGGAAGGCAGGGTTCATGGACTGCAGCGCTCCTCCACCCCCTGGGCCTGCTCCTACAACGGTGCTGTCTGCAGTAGGAAAGGGCCCAGCCAGGCAGGGCTCCTGACCCTGAAGTCACCAAGATGGGAGTCTGCTGCTTGGAATGGGAGCTGGCATGGGGAGGGAGCTATAAGCCCAGAGCAGGGTCATTTTGCTCACTGCTAGATCTCAAAGCCTTTTGCAGTACATACTGGTTGAGTGCTTAGGTCTCGGCCACTGGCTGATGCCTCAGATCCTGCTTCCCTATATGATGAATTTGGGAGGCTCAAGAATAAGGCTGTCAACAGGAGTTAGCAGCTGAGGAGCAAAGAGTGGCCTTTCTCCTTTACCCCCTCCCCTTCCCCCTGACTCTGCCCCCACGCCTTCATCCAAAGTCAGCTAATCAGAGACACAGCTGTGCCATCTCTAGGAGGTTGAAGACCTCAAAAAGCAGAAGGCGCAGGTACAGTGTCATTGGCAGCCTGCTCTCAGGCTGTGGACTGACAGGTTAATGGACCAGAATTAGCAGTGCTCGGCCTCGTGGCAGCCCGGGGAAGGCAATGTGATTATCGTTGTGACAATCATTCCCTTTTGGTTAGAAAAGGGCTGAGTGATTTGCAAAGAGCCACATTAAGGCAAGGAAAAGAGGGATTGGGGGAGGGCCGCAGAGGGATACCCATGGGGGTGGCCCCACGGAGTCTGCGATTGGAAGGGCCCTGCCGTTAATGCTCCCCTGTCACTGTCCTGAGATTCTTCATAATTCTTGAACAAGGGGACCCTCGTTTTCGTCTTGCACTGGGACCCACAGATTATGTAGCCTGTCGTGTGCCTGACCTGGGTCTTTTCATTTCAAATCTAGCGTTTTCTCTGAAGTAACTGAAGTTGGCTTCTCAAGCAGACAGAAGAGGACTGGGGTGGCACAGGGTGGCCAGCTGCTTCCTGAACACCACAGAGGGAAGCTTCCTGGGAGCGGCTTTCTTGGGAAGCTAGCTGAGGTCTCAAGCAGACGTGGTGAGTCACAAAGGCATTCTCTTGTGTTGGGGAGAAAGGAGGAGACTCAGGGAATGATATTGGACCAAGAGAAAAAATCAGCTCTCAGGAAAGATGGAAAGCGATTTACCGGAGCAGATGACACCAGTGTCCTCCCCGTGCCCACAGTTGTGGGTAAACCAGCCGGCATGGGAGCACTGCCCCAGGTGGGCCTCGGTCCCAGAACACTGCACATCGTCCAGAAGAATGGGGCCAGAGCCCTGGCCGAAGTAGGCCCCTCCAGGGGCGGAGACGGCTGTCCCGCAGCCCAGCTGCTGGCACACCACCTGCGCTGCCTTCTCATCCCACAGGTCATCGCACACCGTGCCCCACAAGCCTTCGAAGTACACCTCCACTCGGCCAGAGCACCTTCCAGAACCTTCCACGAGCTGCACAACAAGCCAGTCTTTGGGAGAAAGGCAGTCCCCGCCCCCACCTGAGTGTTTGTGAATGAAGTCATTTTCCCCACCACCTTCCCCGTGACCGCTGGCTCTGGCTAGACCACGCCCTGGACAACGGACATCTTCTTAAATTTCATAACTGCCTGTGGGCATCATTGTCCCCGTTTTCCCACGGGAAGAAACAAGGTGACAATGGCATGAGCCTCCTGGAGTCTCACTGTTAGTGAGGGGCAGCAAGGGACCCCACGAGAGCTCCGTAGGGTCCCCCTGTTTGAGTGGCATTGTCCATGGACCATTCGAGACCACGGCGTGGGAGATGTCACAGGGCCTTGCTCTGTTCTTTTCAGAAGCACTTCATGCTGGACCCTCCCGCCTGCCCTGACAAGAATACCAGCTCTGGGCCTTGATGGTTTAGCCTGGGACCTGTCTCGTGGACCTGGGCTCGCTCTGGCTTTGCTGTCCTCAGCCTCACATCAAGGGCGCCGTGCATTATTCCCAAAGACACTGCTGCCCTCGCCTGCCGCCTGGACCTGCATTTCACCTCTCGGTGGACTTTGAGGTCCTCAGGGACCTCAGGGGCAGGCAAAACCTGCTGGGCCAGTGGATAGCAAGGTGCCAAGGGTGGAGCTCCCACGTGGTGGTCACAGGCATCCAGGTTTGCTTATCAGCTCAGCCAGCAACTAGCTATGGGATTTGTGGGCCACCTGAGCTCTTTCCTCCATCTGTAAATAAGAAGGGCACCTGCCTCACAGGGGATTTGTGAGGCAAGTACAGTAAAGTGCCTGGTGCTGAGGGAACACTTTGGAGCTGACAATTTTTTTTAACCTCCATTCTAGAAACTGGTAATCAGATCCATCAAGGGACAGTTACCAATTCCCAACGCTCGCTGCTACAGAGCCCTGGTTGGGTCCCTGCTGTCTCTCCTCTTTCCTGTGGCCACAGGACAGTGCTTTCAACGTGTGACCCTCACATGGCCCCTGTCGTGCACATCTTGGGGACGCTTGTAAACAGGCAGAATCTGGAGGGTGCCCACATCTCAGAGCTGGGCCCAGGATTCTTCACGTTCAGTAAGACCTGGGGGTGATGCCCACACACCTCCCTCATATAAGAACACTTGGAATAGAGACCCATAAGTCAGGCTTGACCTAGTAAAATCATGAAGGTAGATAAAGGTCTGATAGCATCCTGTCTTGTTAAGCAGAAATAAAATGGGTCGTTCTTATTTCTGCTGAGCAGGAACCATCACTCCCCAAAGGCTTTTAAAGTATCTGTCCTAAAGGTCCTGCCCACCCTCATTCTGTCCTCCTGCAGGCCTAGGGGGCTGTCTGGCTGGGACTCACCTTGCTGCTCCACAGACGTGCCTTGGATGGGGCTTCCCTTAGGGTGTCCCTTCCCCAGCCTTCCTCCAGATCCTCTGGTGTCCCTCCTGTAGCAAACTGAGATGCACCAGCCTCATTAAGACCCAGCAGGGATGCTGACCACAGCCCGCCCCAACAGCAGCTTCCTGGCCAGCTGCAAACCCACGGACACTCAGGCTCAGCAGACTGGGGCCTGGAAATCTGAATTTTCAACAACCCAAGAGGTTGTTCTGTACGGCCAAGTGTGGAACCCATGTTCCGCTGTTGCTTTACCTTAAGCTCTCGCCTTGGAGGATTCTTGTCCTACAGCTCTTGCTTTAATCAGGTAAGTTATGCCAACTATTTGCCAGTAGTGCACTTTATTGTGCAGCACAACAATTTTTATGGCTATCATTTTTGTATTTTCATTACACTCTTTTTTTTTCTTTTCAGAGGCTATTTAACCTTAGTTAATTAATTTTATGTTAGCCTTGGTAAGAGAGGAGGTATTTATACTCAACATCACATAAACACAGCAGTCTTTTTTTTTTTTAACTGGTTCCTGACTCTTCCTGGAGGGTGCAATAGCTGCCATATAACATTGTCATTACCTACAAATAAGTACTATCCTCCAAAAATGCCCCTTTGGTGGGTTTGTAACACGAATCCATTTGCCCTTCAGCTTACATGTCTGTCTCAGCCATTACAAGGTGACCCCTTGTTTGGCAGAATACCCAGGGCACAGGCCTGGGATGCTGTTCAGCATCTGCATGGATTTGCAACAGCCCATTTAATCCTGAGGTGACTGTTGGGGTAGCCCTGGCATGCCTCGTCACTGAACACAGCCCTAGGACATGTTGAAGGCATCTAGAGCCTTTGATGTGTCCTAGGGGCCCACTCCACAGGTGCCCACTCCACAGGTGAGCGCCAGATCAGGCGGCACACAGTCCAGTGGCCAGATGCATGGTCTGGGCTGCAAGCAGGGGACAGACAGCAGCTCTCCCAGACACGCAGCTGGCAAGAGACCAGGCTGGGATTTGGTTCCAGGCTCTAGACTCTGGGCCACTGAGCCGTCTGGCTGTCACGTGCTCCCCTGCCCCATTCCCCTCAGGACAGCGTCTTGATTCTTCTCCTTCCACCTCTCACATCCTGCCACATGTCAGAGCCATTCTGTCCAGTGTCTCTTTGACCCATTCCTTTGCATGAACAACATTAGATCCCAGGTCTACATTGAGCCTCAGCATTTTCAAAGCCCTTCCAAACCCTTTGTCTCATTAGATTATCAGAGAAACCTGGCGTGTGCTGCTCAGGCCTAGCAAGGTGACTTAGATTGCAGAATATCACTCAAAAAAAAAAAAAAATCCGAATCATACTGTATTGCTTTGCCTAAACCCACCCTAGCCGCCCTGAGCTAGGGTTTTTAAACATTTTGTGCCTGGACTACCCTCACCACTGTTTTGGCCAGTTTCACTAATGCAGTCTCTCCCCACCTCCTCCAGGCCACCCATCTACTCATCTGAAAAAGCCACCGTTATATCATTTTGCTGCTATCATGGTGGGCGAAGACTGGAGTTCTTTCCCTGGATTCCAGAACCCTCCAAAATCAGCTCCCTGCTTCCTTTCCAGCTGCTCTCAGGGCAGACTGCTTTCTCTCCCTCAGAAGGAAGCTTGCCCTTCCCAGCTCCGGGACCCCTCTAGAGCTATTAAAATTCCCAGGAATGTCATAACCCTGCACACAGACATGGCATCCTGGCCATCCAGACAGGACGAATCTCAACTCAGAAACCTCTGTAGCATTTTCTAAGAATTCTCCCTAGTGAAAGCCCCACCTCCCCAAATCGTAACGTCCAGTTTGTTTAACCAACGTGGCTGAGCATCTTGGTGCCAAGTGCAGGGTGGTGTCTTGATAACTCAAGAGTCAAGACATGATCCAAGTCTTGGGAGATCAGGACGTGGTACCCACCAGCGAGCTTGTGTCTTGTCTCCGCAGCCCAGGTGGAGGGCCTTGGATGACAGAGCGGACTGTCCTCCCAGCACAGGACCTGGACGGAATTGGACACTCCCTCATGGTCAGAGAGTGAATTAATGGCACGGGATGTCAGAAGGCCTTGAAAACTGGGTTGGTTAAATTTGAAGGACGCGGATAAGGCATGGCATGAAGAGGTGAGGAAGGGAAAGCAGGCCAGCATCTGGCTGTGGACAGGGGAGGGCTGGGCAGGGGCTCAGAGCCGAGTGCGACCTCCCATGTGGAAAGTCAATATTCCCCCAATCTTAAGAAGGGCGAAGCAGGACACAAGCACCCTGCACCCCAGCCTGAAGCCCCCACACCCCCAGGGCTGCCCAGCCCCTCCTGCGCAGGAAGGCCAGGTGGCCTGCAGGTGGGAATACAGTGTCCTGCGTATTTGGTTTTGTGGGCCTGGGGGTGCTGATTGTAAGTGTGAGGTGAGAGCCCTGAACAAGGAAAGGTTTAAGACTAATTGATAAAGGAAAGGTTTAAGACTAATTGATAAAGGAAAGGTTTAAGACTAATTGATAACTCCACGAGGAGGGTGGCATTGGGGACAGGGGGTGACAACAGTGCTTCTTTGGGGACCTGAAGGAGGGGGAAAGAATGGATGAAACAAGTTGGACCTGTTTGGGGAGTGTGTGAGTGTGAGTGTGATGAATGTGTAGAGAGTGTGTGTGAGAGAGTGAGTGCAAAAGTGGGTGTGTGAGAGTGTGATTTATATGGGAGTGTGTGAGTGTGTCAGTATATGTGTGAGTGTGTGAGTGCATGTGTGAGTGTATGTGTAAGTGTGTGAGTACGTGCGTATGTGTGAGTGCTGGTCCTCAGTGCTGTCAGCAGGGCAGAGCGGTGGGACTCCCACCGAGTGAGTGACAGAGATACATGGGGCACAGCTGAGCACACCCACGAGTCGCCATCTGACCTTGGCGGCAGGGCTGGAAGGCGGGTCTGAGGGAGCAGAGGCAGGGCAGAGAGGTACGTGGGTGTGGGCGTGGGGGCAGGAGGCAGCCCCACCATGGAGCGTTGCTGGCTAATGGGGTTTTAGACTGTTTAGCAATTTAACTTGGATTGCGTTGATCAATAAATGCTGCCCTAGTCTGCAATCACATTCTGAGAAACAGCCTTTGTTTCTACAGTGGTCAACAAGTTGCCCTTTGTCCCCAGTTTTCACGTGAATTGTGCTAATATCAACCAAGCTGCAACCGTCTGCAAATTCCCCCAATCCCTTACCAGTATTGTGGGACCTGCAAGGACCTGTAGTGTGTCCCTGGGGTGGCTGTCCCTGGAAGGTCACACTGGCCTCATTATCTGTGAGGCTCTTATGCAATTGGCACCAGGAGCCTGACAAAGCCTATTGGGCCATATCATGTCACTAATCCTGAGCTCCCGGAAACTCAAGATCACCCCCACCAGAAACCCACAGGGTGACTGACACCTCCTGAGGAGAGCTGTGGGGAGAGTGTGGCATGGATGGGAGGTGGCAAAAGGCACCCAAGAACCAGGGAGAAAATGGCTCCCTTGAGAACAGAGCTTTGCAAATGATGTCTACACGATCAGCTGAGCCTCTCAAATATCCTAAGATCTGCAGCAGCTCTGGAACCAACTCACAAGCTCATAATCCCGCTCCTGTTCTTTGAAAGGGTCTCATGGGCAGAGACCAGTCAAGGGTGTGACCCGCTTGCTCATTGTTTTTCCATTCATTTACTTCAGCTGTGGGTGCAGAGCCCTTTACTGTGCAGGGGCGGTACGGAGGACTGGTCTCAGCAGAACAGCGGGTGTCCTCGCATGCTGCTGGCAGAAAGCTGGCGAGTTTCAGGGAAAGCAGAATAAGGCAGGGATGAGAAGGAGTGAACATTAGTGTACCTGGATGCCAAGTGCCCGCTCAGACCATGCAGCCTTCACTGGGGCTGAGTTTTCCATTGGAACTTGGCGTTTTGGTGTGATGGGAGGTGGGGGCCCAGGGCCTGGGATTGAGGCTGATCCTTGGTCCCAGGGGCCCACTCTCTGCCACTCCTGATACATTATCAGGTAGCTGTCCGAGGCAGCCTCAGGAGAATCCCTGAATTTGGGACCACTTTTTTTCAGAGCTTCAGAAATCATTGAACTCATCAGACTTGGAATTCTCTCCATTTCCTACCGTGACATCTA